TTTTTGGACTACCATGGCAGAAGAAGATGAACAAAGATTATTTACTGAAAAAGTAAACAACACATTTTCTGAATGCCTGAACTTGATTAATGAGGTAGAGTCTATATTTGCCTAGCATTTTATAGTTTGCAAATTACCTTCATAAACATTATTTTATTAAATTTTATCATCAGTCTTTTTGACTCGGTGATGTTGGTGATACTATGTTGCCTTGACATGAACTGTGATTATTTTAAGTTATTGTGAGATATACTGCTTCATTCATTAGTTGTGAGATTATTAGCCTTTAATTGACTATATTTTTGCATTGAGTTCATATAAATACACAGGTATTTATCCAAAATGCTTGGGACCAGAAGTAATTGAAAATTTTTTTGTTGGATTTTGGAATATTTGTGTATATGTAATGAGATATCTTGGGGATGGAACCCAAGTCTAAACATGAAATTCATTTATGTTTTGTTTGTGTATTTGTTTGCTTTTGAGACAGTCTTACTCTGTCACCCTAGCTGGAGTGAAGGGGGCTATCTCAGCTCACTGTAACCGCCACCTCCAGGGTTGAAGCCATTCTCCTGCCTCACCTTCCGAAGAAGCTGTGATTATAGGCATGTGCTACATGCCTAGCACATTTTTTGTATTTTTAGTAGAGACCGGGTTTCACCATGTTGGCTAGGCTGATCTCAAACTACTGGCCTCATATGATCCACCCACCTCAGCCTCCCAAAGTGCTGGATTACAGGCTTGACCCATTGTGCTCGGCCTTATTTATGTTTTATATATAGCTTATACATACAGCCTAAAGATACAATATTTTTAATAATTTTGTACATGAAGCAAAATTTGTTTATATTGAACCATCAGAAAGCAAAGGTGTCACTGTGTCAGCCACCCATGGGACAGTCTGGTTGTCTGGCATCACCATGATTCCTGACTCTGAATTTCTGTGCTACTAATAAGCAATTATTTTCTTACACTTATTCACACATAAGTACATCACAATTTATAAAAAACAACGACATTAATACAGTGAAAAATATGTTCAGAGTAACTGAGCAGCACAGGAGAATCAGAATACCCGTATCAGCTGTTAGACAACAGCAACAACAAACAGCAGCACATTATCAACCTCCATCTATGATGCTGTGTTTAAGAGGTATTTTATACTGTGTTTTACTTTTTTAGGTGAGAAGAAACATCAGAAGCAATTGAGGAAACAGGCAGTGGGTCCTCTAGGGATAAGGAGGCATTCTGCTGGATGGCTTTTTAAGATGTTACTTCAAGTCATCTGCCTCATTAGCAGTGGTTTTTGTCTTAGAAGTTTCTCCTTGATTTTATAAGGGACACAATTTCTTGTTCTTTTCTGAATAAATGCTGCTCTAGTCCTTTAATAAGCCTATCACATATTTTCACCTATAGGTACGTTTTCTGTGGTGTTAATGATGGTCATCTTCATTATGCTGATGATACTCAAAGTTTTGCATTTTAGGTTTTGGATTTTCAGATTAGGGATACTTAACCTGTATCAAAGGGATAATTAGGTTTTTTTTACTGAATTACAAATATTTGAGTCCTCTGAGATAATTATGTAATACACTGAGGTGATATTTACTTATTGCTTCTAATATTTTGTTTCTTAAATCTATTCATTATATTTACACATTATTTTTTACATTGATTACATATTTTACCAAAGACTAGCAACACAAATATTGTGTGAGTCATTATTATCACAGATTAAATTCAAGTTACCTAAAATACTCTCAAACAAAATCCCATTCATCTGGCCGGGTGCGGTGGCTCAAGCCTGTAATCCCAGCACTTTGGGAGGCTGAGGTGGGTAGATCATCCGAGGTCAGGAATTTGAGACCAGCCTGGACAACATGGTGAAATTCTGTCTGTACTAAAAATACAAAAATTAGCCTGGTGTGGTGGTCGGTGCCTGTAATCTCAGCTACTTGAGAGGCTGAGGCAGGAGAATTGCTTGAACCTGGGAGGTGGACATTGCAGTGAACTGAGATCATGCCATTGTACTCTAGCCTGGGCAACAAGAGCAAAACTTCGTCTCAAAAAAAAAAAAAAAAAGGAAATTCCATTCATCTAAGGCAACATCATCATGGTTTTGAATTTATTGCAGAATTTTGCTATTTGGACCAAAATCTTGTGGAGTGTAATAATCAGCTCCAGAATACTGTCTTTGTTTCCTGACTGCTCTTTAATCTTGTTTTGGTCACCTACTGGTGTGTAAGGTCCATACCAAAAATAAATTCAAAGTATGATTTCAAACCTGAACCTGACTCTACTCTTCATGAGCCTCTTTCAACTTTTTGTGGTTCTGAACACCAGTGAAAGTTACAATCAGAAAAACTGATTCTCTAATAGGAAAGAATCAGAGTTTATTTCTGCTCAGTTGAAGTTTTTTCTTTTGATACTATAAACTTTTTCTGCCTACTATTTAACTATATGTAACTGACATAAACCATTATGGATTCATTTTAATCTTAATATCAAAACCCAGCAAAGACAATTAGGAGAAAAAAATTCCACAGGGCTATTCTCACTCATAAGTATTTGGTTGAAGGTATTAGCAACAAATGGAATCCCACAATATAAGGATAAAATCAACACCAAGTAAGTGTTCGTTTTGTACTAATAAATGTCTCAACTAATATTTCATTTTTTGCTTTATGCTTATGGCTATCTTTATCATTGATCTTGACTATCATAGGTTCAATTATTGTTCATAGTCTGTAGGTTAAAAAATATCACACACATTATTTCTTGCTCTTTTAGGGATGTCCAAAAGAAGGTATACTGGTCACAGTTAATGACCTGATTAAAAATATTCCAGATGCCAAAAAGCTTGTTAAATATTGGATATGTCTTTTACGTATGGAACCAATCACAAGTCCTGTTGAAAATATTATTGCAATCTATGAGAAAGCCATTCTGGCAGGGGCTCAGGTAAGATAAAAAGTTGTTTATCTTTACTATTACAGTGTAGTAGACAGTTCAGAATTAATTTGAAACACATCACAACATAACTTGAGAAAGTTGTGGGCGTATATGTAGTATTAATAAATGTTTAAAGGCCACAAGGATTGCATTATAAAAGCTTTTATGGCCTTCTGAGTCTTTCATTCTTGTGCTAGGAATAATCTGACTTTAGAAAATGGATGTAAGCTGAAATGTACATTTAATGAAACTTTTTGCATGAAATATTTTAGCATATTATTGTATGCATTTCCTGGTTGGAAATTTACTGGGAGACTGAATCTAACATTAAAATTTCTTTATTGAATATAAAGCAAAAGAAATTAAATTAGCCCTCTAAATGTTATCAAGCTCTTATGTTTTTCTGAGAGAACTCTTTCACTTTAAGAGTAAACCCGACTATATATTTATAGTCAGGTTTAAAATATATAGAGAGAGTGAGTCAGGTTTACTATTATAGTGTATATTATTAGTGTATAATATATACACTATATATATTGGTCCTATTGGCATATAGAAAACGGCAATAAACCAGTTTCTCTAACGTTACCTCCCTAGTGGCTTGATAGGATAGTCCTATCTCCTCTAGCCTATTGATACACAAAGCTTTGGGTATACAATAAATCATTTCTCGAGCTTTTTGTTTGGTTGCGATTTTTTGTTTTTATGGTTAAATGTTCCTAAAATATATTTCCTTTTGACCAGATTTCTCAGAAACACATTCTTGGATATTGTTTATATAGATAATTTTTTTAAACTCCTTTTTAAGAAAGGTCTGTTCACTTTAGTCTCAACAAAATCAACAAATGCTATTTGACTTTTCACTTAAGTAAAAAATCAGATATGCAGCAGATAGTCTGTCAGTGGCTATCATGCGTGAATTACCTTTCCAGAAGGGTAATTATATTTGACAGAATGCTACCTGGTAGGGAGTGTTAGGCCCTACTATGTTGCATCAGAAGGGACATTACTTAAGGCAACTTAGGACATTGTAGCAAGGATGCAAAACTGGAACCAAGGCTCACATAGAAAGCATAAAGTAAACAGAAAGATGTAACACCAGAGGAGAAGCTGCTGGAAAACAAGAATCAAAATTAGCCAAGATGGCTGGACACAGTAATGCGTGCCTATAGTCCCAACTACAAGGTGAAAGGATTCCCTAAGCCCAGGAATTTGAGTCCAGCCTGGGCAACATAAACTCCATCTCTTAAAATAAAATTAGTGGCCAGGCATGGTGGTTCATGCCTGTAATCCCAGCACATTGGGAGGCCAAGGCAGGAGTCCAAGAGTTCGTGACCAAGATGATGAGACTTCATCTCATCATCTTAAGTTAGCCAAGCATGGTGGTAGATAACCTGTGGTCACAGCTGTACTAGAAGCTAAGGTGGGAGAATTGCTTGAGCTCTGGTGTTCAAGACTAGTGAGCCATGATCATGCCACTGCATTCCATCCTGTGTTAGCTGAGCAACACCTCTCTCAAAAAATAAAAATAAGCCAAAAAAACTGAAAGCAGGATAGCTGAGTAATTCAGGACTAGCTTCTGGAACTGAGGCTGTGAACCATACCTTTTCTAATCTTGAATGTGTTGGATGGAACATAGTAAATGCTTATAATACCTGGTAAATAATGGGCACTTAGTAAGTCTTTGAATGAATGAAATATGGTGAGGTAATCAACCTTAAGCTGTTAAGAGATACATTTCATAGCATATGAAACAAAAGTATAACCATAGACTCAAATGTAAGAGAAAAGCAGCAAGACTTAATTAAGTAAAATTATGGGGAAATTTTCAAACATGAAATTCTCTTTCAAGTTCATTTTTAGTCTATACATTAGAAAAGACAGCCATTTTTCAATCTTAATTAGTGGTCTGAGAGGCATGGTTTAAGAGCTACTGCCTTACTTTAAAATACTGTATGAAATTTTAATCACTGACTTTTAATATTTTCAACTTGGATACCTAGTTCATGTCAGAGAAAATAAAACTTACATGGGTCTGCTTTCTTCATTAAAAAAAAATTAAGCCTATTGAAGAGATGCGACACACAATTGTAGATATTCTAACAATGAAGAGTCAAGAAAAAGTTAATTTGGGTAAGTTTTAGTTCTTTTATTTCCTTCAAGTGAATTGTAGGGCTGTTTTTTTTTTTTTTAAACTTTTAAGATCAGGAATACATGTACAGGATGTGGAGGTTCGTTACATAGGTAAATGTGTCGTGGGGATTTGTGTACAGATTATTTCATCGCCCAGGTATTAAACCTAGTATCCATTAGTTATTTTTTCTGATTTCCTCCCTCCTCCCACCCGCCACCCTCCCTTGGGCCCCCGTGTGCGTTGTTCTCTAGGTGTCCATGTGTTCTCATCACTTAACTCTCACATGCAGTATTTAGTTTTCTGTTCCTCTGTTAGTTTGCTAAGGATAATGGGCCTCCAGCCATGTCCCTGCAAAGGACATGATCTCATTCCTTTTTATGGCACATAGTATTTCATGGTGTATATGTACCATACTTTTTTATCCACTCTATCACTGATGGGCATTTGGATTAATTCTATGTCTTTGCTACTGTGAATAGTGCTGCAGTAAACATACATGTGCATGTGTCTTCATAATAGAATGATTTATATTGCTTTGGGTATATACCTAGTAATGGGATTGCTGGGTTGAAGATTTTTCTGTCTCTAGGTCTTTGAGGAATCGCCACACTGACTTCCACAGTGGTTGAACTAATTTCCCACCAACAATGTAAAACACATTGCGCGTTCCTTTTTTTCCACAACCCTGCCAGCGTCTGTTTTTTTTCCTGTTTTCTTTTTTTTTGAGATGGAGTCTTGCTCTGTAGCCCAGGCTGGAGTGCAGTGGTGCAATTTTGGCTCACTGCAACCTCTGCCTCCTGGTCCTGGTTCAAGCAGTTCTCCTGTCTCAGCCTTCTGAGTAGTTGGGATTACAGGAATGTGCCACTATACCCAGCTAATTTTTTCATTTTTAGCGGAGATGGAATTTCACCATGTTGGCCAGGCTAGTTTTGAACTCCTGACCTCATGTTCCGCCCACCTCAGCCTCCCAAAATGTTAGGATTACAGGCGTGAGCCACCATGCTCAGCCATTTTTTGACTTTTTAAGGATAGCCATTCTGACTAGTGTGAAACGGTATCTCGTTGTAGGTTTACTATTTCTTTGCTAAATTAGTTTTTGTTTTATCTTTTTTAACTTTTAATATATGTAGGTTGTTTCTTTCCTTATACTTGTGTTGACCTATCTCTGAGATAAAATGGCTTTATATAGTATACAGAATTTTTAATTAGGCGATCTGGCTCAATATTTAGATTTGTCACTGAATGTCTATAAAAGTTGTGTTGTCTCCAGGCTTTAATTTTTTGCCTTAAAATTGAGGTAGTTTGACTAGATCTGTAGACTTTTCACTTGTTAAATTCTGTGATCTTTGTGTTGTCTAGAAAAGCTCATTCAAGAATTCTCTTTGTTGGGGATAGTAGATGGAGATAGGAGATTCATTAGTTCTCAGTCATAAAATGTGTAAACATTTTTAGATTTAGATAAAGTTTATGCCAGTTGATATGACTTTAGGCCAAAAATACCCTTTCATCTGTAAAATAGGGATTTTGGGGGACCATTGAATGAAATAATGTTTATAAAGTATCATAGTATATAACACATAGTAAATTTATTAAACTGTAGCCATTAATGTTAATCAACTTTAGAAAAACTGTTTCCAGCTGGTGGAGGTGGCTCATGTCTGTAATCCCAGCACTTTGGGAGGCTGAGGTGAGCGGATCACAAGGTCAGGAGATCAAAACCATCCTGGCCAACATGGTGAAACCCCATCTCTACTAAAAATACACACACAAACACACACAAATTAGCTGGGCATGGTGGCACACAACTGCAGTTGTAGGTACTCAGGAGGCTGAGGTAGAATTGCTTGAACCCAAGAGGCAGAGGCTGCAGTGAGCCAAGATCGCACCACTACACTCCAGCCTGAGCAACAGAGTGAGACTCCGTCTCAAAAAGAAAGGAAAAAAAAATGGTTTCCAATTATTTACTATACCTGTATATTACAAAGCAAATATTTGAGTGCATATTGTATGCAATTGCCTATATATCTAGTTATTTTCTTTTGATTACTTTTAACAAGAGTCAAACAGTTTGAAGTTTTTTTTTTTTTTTTTTTTTTTTGAGACGGCGTCCTGTGTCACTCAGGCTGGAGTGCAATGGTGTGGTCTCGGCTCACTGCAGCCTCCGTGTCCCAGGTTCAAGCCTCAGCCTACAGGCAATGTGCCACCATGCTCAGCTAATTTTGTATTTTTAGTAGAGATGGGGTTTCACCCTGTTGGTCAGGCTGGTCTTGAACTCCTGACCTTAGGTGATTTGCCCACCTTGTCCTCCCAAAATGTAGGGATAACAGGCATCAGCCACCGTGCCAACAGTTTGAACTTTTAAAGTCTTCTGACGTGCTGCCAGATTGCTTTCCAGAACAGTATTAGTACCCCTACTTGTAGTATGCAAAATGAATTTAAGATGTAGAGATCTAGGTTGAAGGGCTAAACCTTAAAAAAAGAAGAGCATACTCAAATTCTAAATTAAGTATGTTATATAAGTTTTTTATTACATGTATTAGCAAAAAAAAAAAAAAAAAAACCTGTTCACTGGGGTTAATATGCTAATGGCTGTGCTGATTACTATGCTAATGGCTGTGTTGGAGGTCATGCTTCTGTTGGCAGCATGCTTAGTTATAAGGATTTATTTCAATTTATGGTGACTGTTAATATGCACCAGGGGAACCTATGAAAGATCTATATGATCTGATCTTACTAATAGTATTTAATGAAGGAGCTTGAGAAGCAGGGAGAGAAGGGGACACCGAGGAAAGACTAGTATACCACACAAAAAAAAAAGGAGGAGAAAAGTTTAAGAATAATTCAGTCACAAACACAGTGAAGTGGAAATTCATATTTCATAAAAAGAGCTTCTCTCATAATTCCATCTCTGGAGATGTGTGGAAAGATAAAAGCAATATTTAATCTGATTAAATTACTGTTCCTATCTTACAGAATAATACTAGTTGGTGTTTTCTAGCAGGTATAATATTTTATTAGTCTTTAGATGGGGGAAGGAGCTATCCATAAACTCTTGGCTTTCTGAAATGTATAATTGTAAGTTCTGAATATAAAACCAATTTCACAAGTCAGTTATTTGTAAACAGCAAAAGAACATTAGTGGTCGAAGTAGTTCAGGAGAGGGTTTAAAAAAAAAAAAAAAAAAAGGCTGGTCACTGTGGCTCACGCCTGTAATCTCAGTACTTTGGGAGGCTGAGGCAGGTGGGTCACCTGAGGTTAGGAATTCAAACCATGCTGATCAACATGAAGAAACCCCATCTCTACTAAAAATACAAAAAAATTAGCTGGTTGTAGTGGCGCATGCCTGTAATCTCAGCTACTCAGGAGGCTGAAGCAGGAGAATCGCTTGAACCCAGGAGGCGTAGATTGCAGTGATCTGAGATCTCACCATTGCACTTCAGCCTAGGCAACAAGATCGAGACTCTGTCTCAAAAGAAAGACAAATAATAAGAGACAAGCACCACTTGGATGTCTCACAGCTACCTCAAACACAAATAGCCAAGCTTGAATACATAATTTCCCCCTAAACCTGATTCTTCTTTTAGTTCTCTGTCTTAATGAATGAATGAATTCTCTGTCTTAATGAATTCCAAGTCAGAATCTTGGTGTGATTGTTTACTCCCTCTTTCTTTTCCAGTTCCCATCACTTTTCCCCAGCTAATCAAATTCATTTTAACTTCCTAAGTGTCTCTTAAGATCCATCTACATCATTCCATCCTTACTCTCCTTGCTATCTATATTCAAGATGACCTACACTTTTACTCTGCTCTTGCCTCATTCCAATCCATTCTCAACACTGGAACCAAAATGCTCTGTCATGTATCTGCATGTTACTGAGTCTAGTCTCTTTTCTTTCCCTCCCTACATCCTTGAATTTTTCTTTTTTTTTTTTTTTTTTCCATTTCCTTTTTTTTTTTTTTTTTTTTTTTTTTTTTCCATTTCCTGAAAGGGGTTATACTGTCTTTCCCTCCTCTTTGCTCTTGCCTCATTCCAATCTGTTCTCAACACGCAACCAAAATATTCTGTCATGCATCTGCATAAATTCCTGAGTCTAGCCTCTTCTGTTTCCCTCTCCACTACATCCCTGAATTTTTTTTTGTCATTTCCTGAAAGAGGTTATACTCTCTTTTCCCTCCGTGTCTCTCCAAGACAGTCTTCTGCTTAAGTTCTACTTATCCTTTAGATGTCAACTCAAATGTCACCTCCTTGGAGTAGCCTTCCCTGATGATTTCCCTGATGTACCATTCCCTCTCCTCTCAACCTAGGTTTAGTGCACCTGTTTTGTGCTCCCTGTTTTTTCCCTATGCAATATTTGATGCATTTGATTGCTTACTATTTAGTTGTTTGTCCTGTCTTTTGCATTATGTAAACTCAGTATACAAGAACAGTGTCTAATGTTTGTGACCACTGAGTCTTCTGTGCTAATGGAATGTCTGGCATGTATTTGGCACTTAAATATTTGTTGAATTAATCTATGTTCTTGTTTTTCAGTTTCCACTTACTAAAAACTTGGTCACTATCATGCAACTAAAATTTCTCTTAGTAAAAATTTTTAATAATTGTCTTATAATTAAATCTAGAGGTTTTTTTCAGCTCAATGAATTTATCAGGATGTCTCACAAGTATTTCTAGCCTAACATGTTTTATTTTTAAATCTTTGACTGCCCTCACTGCTATCCCATACCCAAGATCCCATTGTCCCAAAAAAGAAAAGAAAAAGCCTTCCTTTGGCATTTATAACTCTTAAGCAAGAAATTTTAGACAAGATGCTCCTAATATATATGCACACTCATTCCCACACAGTCATGCCTTCATTTGTTTTTTTGTTTTTTTTTTAGACGGAGTTTCGCTCTTGTTACCCAGGCTGGAGTGCAATGGTGGGATCTCGGCTCACCGCAACCTCCGTCTCCTGGGTTCAGGCAATTCTCCTGCCTCAGCCTCCTGAGTAGCTGGGATTACAGGCACGCGCCACCATGCCCAGCTAATTTTTTTTGTGTGTGTGTTTTTTAGTAGAGACGGGGTTTCACCGTGTTGACCAGGATGGTCTCGATCTCTTGACCTCGTGATCCACCCGCCTCGGCCTCCCAAAGTTCTGGGATTACAGGCGTGAGCCACCGCACATGGCCGCCTTCATTTGTTAATAAGTTCTGACTCGGGTCGATATGGTGGCTCATGCCTATAATCCCAACACCAGAAGGCCAAGGTGGAAGAATCGCTTGAGGTCAAAAATTCGAGATCAGCCTTGGCAACATAGTGAGACCCTATCTCTACAAAAAATTTAAATATTAGCTGGGCATGGTGGCGCACGCCTGTAGTTTCAGCTACTTGGGAGGCTTTGGCAGGAGGATCACTTGAACCTGAGAAGTTGAGGCTGCAGTCAGCTATGATTGTGCTACTGTACTCCATCCTGGGTGACAACAGAATGACAGGCACCCTGTCTCTTAAAAAAAGGTCCTTACTCAGAAATGTTTCTCAAATTGGACCCTTCCTTCCTATCCAACCTCTTATTAACTTACTTAGCCTATTACAACAACTTCGTCTTCTTTCCCTCCCAGATTGTTACTTTTCATTCTCTGTCATTCTAGACAATCCTTTACATTGACCAAATTTAATTAGATCTGTGTCTGGTCAATTTTTTTTTTTTTACCAAACTTCTTTCATATAAAGCTCATTACAGTCCAGCTCTTGCTTACCTATCTGAGCTCAGTACCGCCCACTCCCACTCCTCCCTTGCCCCTTACCCTATATTCTAAACACACTAGCCCTTTAATGTTATTTTAATAGACCATTTTCTTTTATGTGCCTAGGAAGGTTGTCTTCTTTGGTCTTGGTCAATTACTCATTTTTCAAGACCCAGTCTAAATGTCACTTGTGAAGCATTCCCTAACCATCTCCCTGTACCACAAGCAAAGTTAGTTGTTCCTTTTTGTGGGTTTTAATAGTCCTTTGTTCTTATTACATATATAGCATTTATCTCATTTTATAATAGTAAATGTTTGTTAAATAGTTGGCAACGGTTTGTTATATAGTTGGCTGAGGAAAAGGAATGGTTTGGTGATGGCAGTTGTGTTCTTTTATTTTGAAAATTTGGCCAACTAGGAATAACTTTAATGTCTTCTGATTTTGTTCTTAAAATTCAGCCAAAAGCTTAATCTAATAAATGTATTTTCTATAGAAGAAAATACGGAGAAGGCTTGTGCAACCAAGGAATTAGTCACAGAAGTCAGTATTGAAGATACAGGTGGTGATGTAGAGCCAGAAAAACCGGAAATGGAGAGTAAACATCATAGAGATGACCTATTGCAAGACTGTGAAAAGGAGCAAGACAGCAAAACGAAAGATCCAACCCATGATATTAAAACCCCCAATACAGAAATGAGGACAAGTTCCTTAATTAAATATAATGTGTCTACTACGCCATACTTGCAAAGGTAAACATTTAAAATGTAATGTACTATGATTTTTTTTGATGCTTGGGGATAATAAATATGGCATGTAAAAATCTTTGAGATACCTTCAGATTACAGCTACCATTTGTTAACATAGAAAAGTTTTCAGGCGGGGCATGGTGGCTCATGCATTTAATTTCAGCACTTTGGGAGGCCGAGACAGGCAGATCACTTGAGCCCAGGAGTTCACGACTATCCTGGGCAACATGGCAAAACCCTGTCTTTACAAAAAATTGGCTGGGCTAGGTGGCGTGCGCCTGTAGTCCCTGCTACCTGGGAGGCTGAGGTGGGAGCATCACTTGAGCCTGGGAGGCAGGGGTGGCAGTGAGCCAAAATCATGCCACTGTACTCCAGTCTGGATGACGGAGCAAGACCCTGTCTCAAAACAAAAAAAAGTTTTCAAACAAATAGAATGTCATTGGGACATTTCACCTTTTAAATACTATGTTTACTTTCCGTAAATATTGCCATTTTGAAAAAGAAAACTTTTATAAGATTTTACTTTAACCTGTGGTTATTAATAACAGTAGGTTTTGGCATTCAGGAGTTAGCCAATTCTAGATACTCAAGTATCTACTGTGTACAAGCTGTAATGACAAATTGAGAAAAGGATAAGTTTCTCACTTCAATGAGCTTGTACCTCTCTAAAAGACAATTACATGCTTATAACATACAAGCTGTATGGTATGGTACATGTCATGAAAGTACAGATTAAAAACATTAACATGTTTTTGAACTCTGAGAATATTGTTTTAATTTTCAGTATGAAAAAGAAGGTGCAGTTTGATGAAACAAATTCCTCATTTAAGGAGCTGAAGTTTATAACACCAGTGAGACGTTCTCAACGTCTTCAAGAGAAAACCTCTAAATTGCCAGATATGTTAAAAGATCATTATCCTTGTGTGTCTTCATTAGAACAGCTAACGGAGTTGGGAAGACAAACTGAAGCTTTTGTATGCCGCCCTAATGCAGCACTGTGCCGGATGTACTCTGAGGATTAAATGACAGAAGAGAACTAAAGTTCTGATAGGGAATTGGGTTTTTATGATTTGTGGGGTGTTTTGTTTGGAGTAGCTTTATATTGCCCTTAGGACTGAAGTTGGCCAAGTACCTATGTATCTTAAGTATTCATGGCAGTGAGCTTCTTTACTAACATTCATGTTATGGCCAGAGTTGTCCTCTGCATTAGAAAGCTAATCCTGCTGTTTGAATCTCAACTGACTGAGTTTTTTCTTTTAAGATAGGTAAATTTTGTCAGCTAGTTTACTATGTTCCTTGAATATAAATAGGTTAAAATACTAGGCTGTTCACTTTACCAACTATAAGTACAGTAATGATACATCATTAGAAAATGAGTTATTCCAGTTAAAATGTGTATGTTTGCATTGACATGTTTTTAAAAGTTATGATCTCCCTACCATTAAACAGAATAATTTTTGGGGGGGCTTTCTTGGATTAGTATGAAAGTTAAAAATTGTATAGAATGACTCACTTTGAATATTAAGACACAGGAGGTTTAGCTTGCTTTCTCACCAAATTCATGTTACCCAGACTTGTGTTCTGTTGTCCCTTGGACTGCCTATTGATTGATGAAAGTGTCTGCACTGTCTCTCTTCGTCAGTGGCAGTCTGTGGTCTCATGGCATCTTTTGATTATAACTGGGGTCACCAAGAAGGGTGCTTAATTAACCCCATTTATAAGAGAAGATACTTTGTGTAAGAAAGAAAAGATGCCAGATTTATTGGTTTAACTTTTGTAACTTCACTTGGTAGTTTTTAAACAATTAGAATGGAGTAGGGAAAGAATATATCATACTGGATAAATGTCATTCTAGTTTAGAAAGCATTTTGTCATTCTAGTTTAGAAAGCATTTCTAAAATACTTGATAGTTACACATTTTTCTCTCCACATATAAATACCACCACTAAAATTGTAAGTTTCTAAACTAATGCTTACATGGCACACATCATCTATCAATTCTATGGTTTCAAATCAGTGACTTTTTAATTGTAAAAGATTAGTTTAAAAACTATATGAATGTGGTTGAAGATCTCATGCTTAGTCATTTTTATGTTTATTCCATTTATGTATCTTTTTTTCTATTGACTTCTCATGTTCTAGAGAGTAAGGTTTTTATTCTGTGTACCTGATATGTATACAATAAAAATAACCGTATAATGATTTCATGAAGTTTATTTCAACAAATACTTGATGAAATGCAGTTTAACTACAGGGAATGAATTTTAGCTTTGCTTTTGAAATACATTGTAAGATTTGACTTGAGGTTTTTGACACTTTGCTTAATAGTATATTTTCTCTTCAAAAATCATCAGTCTACTTATATAAACTTTACCTAGTTTTTTTCACTTTAACAAAAACAATCACTATGCCCTTTGGTTGTTTTTCATACTTTGAATGAAGTCAAGCTTTGATGCACTCTCAGCTTTTTAATATCCATACCATATAATTCATTTGTCTGTATAGCATAGCTTGAAATGTCTCTCTGAAAGAGAACTCAAGATGCAAACTTTATGTTTGGACAAGTTTTTAGTTTTAGTTTTTGTTTTTTTTTCTCCTTTTACTGAGGGAAAATCTGTCTCTAAATGGTCCTAGTTCTAACATTCAACCAGAGGTCTAACTCCTTTTCTGATGCTTAAGGATAGCTATTACATGTCTCCCCTAGGTTTGTTCCAAACTAAATATGTCCAAGGATGTGATACTGTGCATAAGCATCCAACAGAAATGTAGCAGGGACCTCTCTCACGGGCCTGCTTGGATCTTCCCATGCATACTAATAAAAAAATCTTGAGTCTCTTCAAGGGAAAATCCAGGTACCTTAGCTGGCCTCAAAAAAGTAAATGAGCAGCCTGGAATAAGGACACAATGTTTAGTTCCCTATAAAAATGAAACATCACATGTTGAGTTTTTTAGGAACCCAGATTCATGCCAGATGAAAAATCCCACCCACTGTCATGTGGACCTAAGATAAGGGGAAACAGGACTAAACCCTTACCACCATTCTTTGTTCTAGATTTCTTCTTAAGGGGCCTAGACAGAATCATGCCCACAAGCAAAACCTTAACATTCCTTTCTGCTGACCCTAAGTTTTTACACAAAGCCCTACTTTAACCATTGCAAAGCTCTGAATCTACCTATAACCTGTAAGCCCCTGCTTCAAGATACTTACCTTTTTGGCTCAAACCAATTATAACCTCCATGTATTGATTTATGATTTTGCCTGTAACTTCCACTTTCCTAAAGTGTACCCCTGCCATTAAAAACCCTTGCTTGTAAGCCATCAGGAAGCTTGGGTCCTTTTTTTTCCCTTTTTAGACAGAGCCTTGCTCTTGTTTCCCAGGCTGGAGTGCAGTGGCACGATCACGGCTCACTGCAACCTCTGCCACTTGGGTTCAAGCAATTTTCCTGCCTCAGCTTCCTGAGTAACTGGATTACAGGTGCCTGCCACCATGGCCAGCTAATTTTTGCAGTTTTAGTAGAGATGGGATTTCACCATGTTGGCCAGACTGGTCTCAAACTCCTATCCTCAGGTAATCGGCCTCCCAAAGTGCTGGGATTACAGGCGTGAGCCACCAAGCCTGGTCTAGGAAGCTTGTGTCTTAAGCTGCCCAGTTCTTGCACACCCTATAATACCTCAATTTCTCTCACTACAAATCCTGAGGACAGTGTCTGGCTTTCGCTGCACGTTGGATGAGTGGATCCAAGTTTGATTTGGTGATGACCTACATTCCAAAATCTCAAGCTTCTCCCTTAAAAGTTGTGTGAGCTTGGATATGAATCTCATCTTTATGAGAGGTAAAAAGGAGATAACCCCTGTAGTCATTTTGTACCATGTGATCTCCAGGTTTATTGGCCAGGAATGGTCACCTGACCAAAGCTGGACATGTCAGAGAACTTTCCATAGGAATTTGGAATCAAAAGTCTTTTTTTTAAATGTAGTTAAACGTAAATATTATATAGTATGTAAATATGTGCTGGGTGACCAAATGAGGGTTGAAGAACAAAGGTCACCAGTCAACAGAAAAGACCATATAAATAAAACTGTGTGTGTGTTTGTATATAAACTTTGTGGGGTTTGTTTTGCTTTATTAGCTATACATGGCACCATACCTTATGTACGGTTATGTAATTTGCCCTTTTTTTTCTAAATTATTAAGTCTTGGGGGAATTTCCATTTATGTAAATCAATGTAACATTAATTATGACTGCATGGGAATTTAATATTACATTTCAAATAGTGGGAGAAAGAATGGCAATGAGTCAGTTACCCATTTTGGGAACAAGAAATTTCAATGCCTGCCTCATACCATTTGTAAAAATAAATTCCAGGTAGAATAAATAGTTTAAGTAAGGATATTAGGAGGAAATATAAAATATGTTTGTTTTTGAGACAGGGTCTTACTCTATTAGCCCAGACCGAAATGCAGTGGTGCAATCACGGCTAACGACAGCCTGGACCTTCTTGGACTCAGGTGATGCTCCCATCTCAGCCTGCTGAATAGCTGGTAGCTGGAACTACAGGCCTGTGCCATCATGCCTGGCAAATTTTTCTAACTTTTGTAGAGATGGGGTTTTTCCATGTTGCCCAGACTAGTCTCAGACTCCTGAGCTCAAGTGATCTGCCCGTCTCAGCCTCCCAAAGTGCTGGGATTACACGTGTGAGCCACTGCACCCAGCCTAAAATATGTTTTTATCTTTAGAACAGGGAGGGCGTTCTTAATCAAGACACCTTTACATGGAAGGGTGTGGTAGAGCCCATGGACTTTAACAGCAAATAACAGTAAGACTCTATAGGTACGATAGCAAGACATTCAGAGACCAGACTAGCGGGTGGCAACTGAGATCCTCAAGATTCTGTTAAAAAAAAAAAAAAAAAGTGGATGGTGCGCCTAGAATTTCATGCTCCAGGTATTTTTCAAGTTTAAGGGCAAAATAATATTTTCAAACAAGCAAGAAAGGATTCAGTTTACCATTCATGAATTTATCTGAAACTAATCCTGAAGGTTTTATTCTAGTAAAATAAGTAAATCTAGCCAGGCATGGTGGCACATACCCTATAGCTCCATGTACTCAGTAGGCTGAGGCTGGAGAATCACTTGGCCTGGGAGTTCAAGGCAAGAGTATGCTATGATCATGCCTGTAAATAACCACTACTCCAGCCTGGGCAGCATAGCAAGACCCTGTCTCTTAAAAAAAAAAAAAAAAAAAGGCCAGGCACGGTGGCTCACGCCTGTAATCCTAGCACTTTGGGAGGTTGAGGCAGGTGGATCACGAGGTCAGGGGATGGAGACCATCTTGGCTAACAGGGTGAATCTCGTCTCTACTAAACAAACAAAAAAATTAGTGGTACGCACCTGTAGTCCCAGCTACTTAGGAGGCTGAGGCAGAAGAATGGCTTGAACTTGGCAGGTGGAGGTTGTAGTGAGCTGAGACTGCACCACTGCACTCCAGCCTGGGTGACAAGAGACTCCGACTCAAAAAAAAAAAAAAAAAGTAAAAGTCTGAGATTTTAAGAAAACTGTTAGCCACACCAAACCAAAGTTAAAAAGCATAAGAAAGTCTATACAACTGTAGACTACAAAGCAGTTATACAGAATGAAAACTCGCAGTCATTTCAGGAGTGGCATTTTATTATTTCTTTTTTTTTTTTTTGAGATGGAGTTTCGCTGTTGCCCAGACTGGAGTGCAATGGCACGATCTTGGCTCACTGCAACCTCCGCCTCCTGGGTTCAAGCAATTCTGCTTCAGCCTCCCGAGTAGCTGGGACTACAGGCACGCACCATCATGCCCAGCTAATTCTTGTATTTTTAGTAGAGACGAGGTTTCACCTTGTTGACCAGGATGGTCTCGATCTTTTGACCTCGTGATCCACCCGCCTCGGCCTCCCAAAGTGCTGGGATTATAGGCGTGAGCCACCGCGCCCGGCCGCATTTTATTATTTCTAGTTACTGCCAGATATATTTCTGGATACACCCAGAAGCTCCCCTGGCTGGGTATCCACAGCTTGGCAACCACTGCATAAAAATGGAGCCAGACCTTCTCTCACCATCCCCTGTCCACCACCCTTACCAGTCTATTCTTCCTGAGTTACAGGTTGAACCTCCTGCAAAATATATGCTGGAGTCCTAATGTGCAGTACCTCAGAGTGTGATCTTATTTGGAAATAGGGTTGTTGGAGATGTAATTAGTTAAGATGAGGCCACACTGGGTTAGGGTGGTCCCTCAGTCTGATATGACTGGTGTCCTTATACAGGGGAAATTTAGACTCAGAGACAGCACACATAAAAGAAAGGCAACATAAGGCTGAGTACGGTGGCTACGCCTGTAGTCCCAACACTTTGGGAGGCTGAGGTGGGTGGATCACGAGTTCAGGAGTTCCAGACCAGCCTGGCCAACGTGGTGAAACCCCGTCTCTACTGAAGAAAAAAACAAGTAGGGTGTGGTGGTGCACGCCTGTAATCCCAGCTACTCAGGAGGCTGAGGCAGGAGAATCGCTTGAACCTGGGAGGCAGAGGTTGCAGTAAGCTGAACTCACATCACAGCACTCCAGCCTGGGTGACAGAGCGAGACTCTGTCTCAAAAAAGTAAAAAATAAAGAAAGATAGGCAATGTGAAGAGATACAGGGAGAAGGAGGCCATCTACAAGTCAAGCACAGAAGCCTGAAACAGATCTTTTCCTCCCAGCCCTAAGATAAACCAACACTGTCAACGCCTTCATTTTGGACCTCTAGCCCCCAGAAATAGGAGATAATAAATTTCATTAAACTACGGATTCAGCTTGTGGGGACTTTGTTACAGCAGCCCTGGCAAACTAATATACTGACGGAACAAGGGAAAGAGTCCCTTTCACGACTGCCAACATTGGGTGGGAAAGAAAAGCATTAGGCACCTTTGTCAACTTCTCCCCTGATGCTGTCATGAATTTAATCTCAGAAATTTGTGTCTGTTTCTCAATTCCCAAGAGCAGCATTCTGGGTACAGGCATAGGTAGTGTTTTGGTTTTTCTTCCTTTTTTTTTTTTTTTTTTTTTTTTTTTTTTTTGAGATGGAGTCTTGCTCTGTCACCCAGGCTGGAGTGCAGTGGCACCATCTTGGCTCACCACAACCTCTGCCTCCC